AAACTTCAAGATCCACAAGTTAAGAACATCCTGTAAGCTCTTATTGGTTTGCTTTGGTGCAAGTGTTCTCTGGGTTACCGTATATTTCTTTTTTCATTAAATAGTAAATGGACTGTACTTATATTGCATCTTTCAATACTTAAGCACTTTACACTACAATCTACCCTCATTTACCCATCCATACAGCACTCTACTAGATCTATACAAAGACTAATCAGAGCTTTATCACATTCATACTCTGATGGGACACACATCGGAGGTGATCAGGGGTTCAGTGTTTTGCCCAGGGACACTTCAGCATATGACTACTGGTGAAATCGAACCCCCCAACTCTCCCATTGGAAGACAACTGTTTTAACCACTCAGCCACAGCTGCCCCCAAGATACTTCAGTAAAAGTGTGTTTCAACCACAAGAACCCCACAAAGGTTCATTCCCGAATCCCAGGAGATCCTGTAATCCTCTTAACAGGAAACAAAGATAAAAAATAACACAAACATTTAGTTTGAAGTCTTGTGCACTCTTTCTAAGGAATGTGAAAGGAGCATGGTCAAAGGAAGCACTGTGAACACAGGGGAAATGTGCAAACACCAAACCAACTCGTGTCCTTTCTCAGAGGTGTCACTGCTAGTTTTCAAAGAATAAAAATGTTAACTGTATTTTGAACTGTGTTTATAACTACCTAGTTCATGTTGTAGTTTATCCAGATTCATGATTTCAATTCATATATCACCATGTACAGTAAATGTTTTTAAAATAATTCAAACTGCTGTTTACAAAAATTTATAAAGGTGTACTTTATTATTGAACAGTGGCAAACTTGTGGATAAAATAAGCAGAAAGGAAGTCTTGTATGCTTTGACAGACTTTGCAGGCTGCTGCACATGGCTCAACAATAATGATGTTGTACATCTTTATACTGTATGAGCTTTTAGTGCATCACACTTATGAAGTATCTGGTTTAACAAGTTCAGCAGACATTAAGTCATCATTTGATAGATGTTGTTTTTATATTCAGAATACTAAAACATCATAGACCATGTGTAGGATAAAACCATAATTGCTCAGCCTGCTGCATTTTCTCTCATCAGTCCTTAAACGTAAGCATCTCTTTTGCGTATTGTCTTGTTTTATGTTAGGCGAAGGATAAGGAGTACTGCAGGGTTAAAGGCACACCCACACTAATGGAGTGTTTAGTAGAAAACAGTTGTGATCCCTTTGTAACACTCTGCTATTGTATAGTATCTCTCATCATCTCCCACAGTGCCAGCCACATGGCACAGCGAGTCCTTCCACCCACTCTACGGCTCTCTCTAGCTCTCACTCTCACAGCTCATGCAGCTGAGTTTGGTGTGTGGTCTTTTGACACAATAACAAAAGCTCAACAGTGTTTGATGCTGTGGATACAGCACAGGCGTTACGGTAACTGTACAAACTAGAAATGGGAAGAGGGTGTTTGTTTAGCTGTGAGACATTAAACCTGTGTTTAATTAGCTCTGTCATAATAATAATAGTACAATTGTTCAGTTAGTTTGATCTAAAACTTTTCTGAATGATCATTTAGTAAAGAGGGAAGGTTAAGTGATGGTTTATGTACCTATTTTATGGGGGAAAAAATAGTACATTTTATTGAGCATCTGATCAGATAGTTTGTTCTTGTAGTGAACCTGATCTGACCCTGATCTGACCCTGATGACCTCAAATCTATCAGATGGACAGAGACTGTTATTTTCATTGATCTGAATACAGTCTGAGCCATCTGGTGACTTTCTTTCTTGAATTAATCAAGCAGAAAAGACAATTCTCTATGATCATCACTGTTTACAAATGTTTGATAATCAAATGGTGTTAGTTCACTCAATGTTACAGGTTGAAAAGAACTACTCATTTTTATTTTACATAAACAGTAAGTAATGATTTTTATTCCTCATTCAAAGAAGAAATCAGGTTAATATGCATTTCTTGATTTTCTGTCTGAAATGAGCCAAGTTTTGTAAGTATGTGAAAGGTCGGTTTTCGGTCAACTAAAATGTTTACCGAGAAAGATGTCATGTTTAAACTTTTGCAAAAGATTATAAGTGTCAGACTCCACGAAGTCTGAAGTCCTACAATAATCTTTCTGTTTGTTACTAAACAATCCTTGACTTTTGATAACATCTTACATCATAAACCACACCTCTGTTCCTGGTCCATCGACCAATCAAAGGCTCTCAAATGAACCGGAAGTCGACCCATTTAAAATGTGGCAACTTCCCAGTTCATGTGAGAATTCAGAAGAATGGAAGAGAATTCGGGAGAATTCCAGAGAATTCCAGAGGCTGAGGAGATGAAGAACTAGAGAGTTGCTGGAGTTGAAAGATTCTGTTAGAGTCTGAGAAGTTCTGAAGAATGAAAGGAGTTCAGAGTTCTTGGGTGCAAACGCGTTCAGGATGATCCAGAGACGTTTTGGGATTATAATTTCTGTTTGAACACCACGTACGACTCTCTGAGGGTTTGGCAGTTCTCACGGAGACGCTGAAAAGAGTCAGAAAGGAACCTGCTCCGACGCTGATAATATCATCAACAGGTAGAGGGTTCTATTTTCGACCAAGTGTACCGTGGGCAAGCTGATATCTGATGGAGCGTGCAATTTCTGGTCAAACAGATTAATTCCCTCACATATTTCTCTGTAAGATAAATCTCCATTTCATCTTAAAACTCTCCTCTTTCTCATAAAATCAGTACAGATATCTTAGGAATATCTGAAGCAAAGTCCTTGATCACCGCCGAGTGATCGATGCTCATTTTCTGTGAAACTTGTCTGTTATTATTTTCATATTTTGCCAAATCAATGTAAATGTTTGATGTTAAACTTTGATTCTGAAAATAAATGACCGCATTGATTTGATGGGTCAAAGATAAATAACGTCTCTCGTTACATTTCTGTTAAATTCAATGCACGACCTTACACAGTCAGAAAGATGAGGAACTCGTGAATATTGTATGCATATATATCTCATATATTGTCATACTACAACTAGTGGCACGTACCTACGTGACTACTACATTCTCGAGGTTGACAAATGTAAATTTGGCCAGTTAGAAAAATTTCCAACTTAATGCTAACAAAAATACAAATAAAAAATTAGAGCCTGAATGATATAGAAATTTTGGCTATTGTCGATACCGATATTGGGAGGGAAAGGGACTGCCGATGACCGATATAATGGCTGACATTTTTTTAGCTTTGTCCACCCCCAAGTTAGCACAGCTGTTAACAATCATGAAGCTAAGCAAATCAGATCCATGCTATACTACCTAGTCCCACACTAGTTTACAAGTGGTGCACTGGTCTTCCTAATGTGCGTTCACATTTTCTGTCCTCTACTTTTTACCATAAAGTTATCAAGTGTGTCACATAAATGTAAATTAAACAAAGAAACGTCCTTCCCTTTCATTGTTTAAACAGTCAGTCACGTATGGTGAAGTCCTCTTTATTATTGACTGCAGCTGCATTTTTCTTTGCAGAGAAGAAAAGATTTCAGGCAAACAATGCATTTCATTGAGGACGAAAAATATAACGTTACTAACACTATATATTTACCACTACATTAGATTTATTGTTCTGGATAAAGTTTTACAAGGCAATAGCCTATGCTAGGTTATCTAAACGTTAGCTCGCTAACTTGAGAGGCACGTAGCTAATGACAAGCGGGTTGGAGGATGAGGGATACTTTATTATTGTTGATTTGTTTTACAGATCAATTAAAATAAACTTACCATGCTGTGTTCAGCAAAAATATGCCACATAGTATTGCTCCCTGCTTCGTCTGTGCTGAGCATGAGAGTGAAACTTAAGTGAACAGCAGTGACTTGAAAATAGTCTTCATACGTCCTCTGCTGTATACAGTGAACAATTATGTCTGGTTTCCAGCATTTTAGGAGTGAAAATTAAAGTGCTTATATCAGCACATAATGGGACAATTATCACTGATACCAATAGGTCCCCATAACATCTATATCGGTCCAAATTGTCGGCCCTATCGATATATCAGTTGGGCTCTATTTAGGGGTGCACAGATTACAGTTTTTTGGCCAATCACCAATCTCTTAAAAGCCTGACCTGCCGATTCTGATTTTGGCCGATACCGATTTTGTTTTACAAGTGACACTGTCAGGTGTTATAAGGTCACAATGTACCTTCAATTTTCCAATCGTATTTTATTGAAAAGCATACCCTTGAACAATATCCTAGAAACAATACAAACTTGTTTTAACTGGCCTTGAGGTAGTGCTCTGAAATATAAAAGAAGTTTAGCCAGATGTTCAAACTCCAAAAAAAATCTGTATAATCGATTTCTCGTGAAAGTATTGGCTGATCTCCGATCTCCTAAAATTAAGGAAATTGGGGCCAATAAATCAGCCGGCCGATTTATCGGTGCACCCCTATAAAAATTCCCCAAAACACCTGCATCTGTTTGATCCAACGCATCCTTCAACCTTCATGCTATGATCTGAGAGGAGAAAAAGAACAACTGTCAGATTACATTTTACCCTCTGATTGTTTTTCCTTAGACAAGTCTCAAAGCTATAAAGCGCAGAGATAAGCAGTCTGATCTCAAACATTTTATAAATTTCTCTGGGGCACACATTGTCTTCTACTCAGTGTTCTCAAGTTTTTCTTTATTTTATTTTTTTTGTATTTTCTGTGTCCACCCTGACGTTTCTGATAAGACTGTTAAGTTTTGCTTTGAGAATAAGGTGAATTTAATCATCAGCAAAGCAAATGCTTTAATTAACTTCTATGATCTGGGTTTTTTTTTTGTTTTTTTTTTTGCTAACCATGTTAAATATCCAAATGTGTTTAAATGTTCTTTTTATTTGTTGTGTATGCATTACTAATGATTTTGTGGTGAATGTATTCAGTGTAAAAACATCAAAGTGGTTTTCACTTCAAAACTTTGTCTGCTTTACAGTTCTAAAATAATGTGACCATGTTCCTTTTTCTCCCTTTTCCGAAAGGTGTTGTAGAAGGGGACCTGGCAGCTGTGGAAGCGTACAAGTCATCTGGAGGTGACATAGCACGACAACTGACATCAGACGAGGTGCGTCTATTAAACAGACCCTCAGCATTTGATGACGGCTTCACGCTGGTTCACCTAGCCATCCGCTTCCAGAGACAGGACATGCTGGCTGTGCTGCTCACAGAGGTCAGTGTAGACAAAACAAAACACGGTTACTCTTTCAGAATTCATCTGCCATGAACTCTGGGCTGTTTGAGCTCCGTTTACATATTAACTAAGTACTACTTTGTTTTCAAGTTTGAATTTAAAGCAACACAGCGTTTGAGCAGGCATCAAAAAACTAAATCCTACTACACAAAGCACATAATTTAACACTTACTGTGTTTTGTGGTAAATCTTCCTTTTTAGTATTGTTTTTATGTTTCTAACCATTATTAAAGATATTTTGTAAATAATGTACCTTTTGTGCGTTTGTGCCCCAGCAGCTTGTGTGTGTTGTACACCTCTCCTCCCACTCAGTCAGTGCCCTGGTTTCTTTTATAAAGAGGTCAGAGAGTTATTGTTAGATCATATCCCTAGAATGCTTCAAACATTAAAGTGCCTGAACATAATCTGCTTCTCTTTACATTTAAAAAGGCAGATTTGTCAGATGAAAGTATAAGTAGCCCACATTACTCACTCATTTAATTGGTTTGTAATAATACACAGACAGTGATTGATCTATTTATGTGTTTAGGCTCTAACTTTACTGTAAAAATGTCAGACAACCTCTTTTTTTGTTGTTGTTTTTTTAAAATAACCAAACAAAAGAGATTGTCTCCCAATACACCGATTTACTAGTTTCAACTAATTATTGTTTCGGTTGAAAAGCATTTAATACCTTGAATCTTTGAAAACCCTTTTCAAGTTAAGTATATGCAGGTTTTATTTAGAGTAGATCACAAAAAATATATTTCTTTTTTCATAACTTACTGGTTCTGTGTCTTTTATATGGCATCTTGCATTTGACACATGCAGCACTTTAACGTCTCTACGTTTAGGTTTAAATTTACAATCATTTCACTCAGTCTTTTTACTTTTGATTGGACGTTAGATGCTGACTTTAACAAAGACAAGTGCTTAATTTCAAGCAGCTGGTGATTTGAGTCTTCCTTTTTTAAATCTCAGTGAAACTTTATTGTAATTGCCATCTGAAAATGAATAACAAAGAATAATTGTTAGAAACACACCTGCCTAGTTCTGAGCTTAAGCTTTACTTAATCTTTCTGGATCTCTTTCCTTTCCTTCATCCTCTTTTCTCTGCAGGTTTCCCAGCAGGCAGCCAAGTGTATTCCAGCCATGGTGTGTCCCGAGCTGACTGAGCAGATCCGTCGGGAGGTAGCGGCCTCTCTTCACCAACGCAAAGGAGACTTCACCTGCTACTTCCTCACTGACCTGGTCACCTTCAGCTTGCCTGCAGGTGAGCATTTCATTTGCAAACGAACAGAACGGACCAAAATTATGTGCTCTCTTGTTCAAACATTAGATAGTGCAGACACATTCATCATTACATACATTTCTGAGTCAGTGAGAGGAAAATTTTACCATTGCAGCTAAATAAACCTCTTCTCCAGTCAGTTCCTCTGGCTTTACAAGTGTTATAAAAATCCCGATTTGTTTTTCATACGTTGACAAAATGCTGTGATTCTGTTTCTGACTACCACAACATTGAAGCAACTTTTGGCTCACTGTTTCTGTATTGTTCTTGTATATACTAGGGTTTGAACGACTACATAATTTTAAAACTCGACATTAACATAATAAAACTCTAGTAGAACTCGAGTAGTTGATGACGTCATAGGATCTCAAGATGCAAAAAATAAATAAATAAAACCGCAAAAAAACGTCATTCGTTATTTACAAAAAAAAAGACCAACAAAACATTGGGAGCGTATATTATGTTCCTACCATTTATCATACTGCAATTAAGTCACAGGAAAAACAAAACTATTAGTTATTATTATTAAGCTGCAAAAGTGAAAGAAACGTGCAGCACGTAAAAAACGAAACTTAAAAACAGTGGGGCGGACAGCCACCGCATTACGTTTAGTTTTAGAGATTAATATGTTTATAGGTTTTTTAATAGGTTTCAAGATTAATGTTTTTTGCTTTTTTGTTTTTGTTTGCTGGTTCTGGTTTGGTTGGACCCGATGTTACACCAAATTCTGTGACCTGCAACAGTGCATGCAACACCGCCCCCTACGGTCACAATATACAGTGGTCACAGAATATGGTGTAACACCGGTTTGCAACGAGCTCCAAACCGGAAGTTGATTCATTTTCTGTTTCCAACTGAAGAAGTGCGCTGTGAAAGTTAGTGGTTAAGACATGGAAAAATGTGCATCCTTCCGCATCGAGGAATCCATTTTCTAGCTTCTACCAGCGAACCCGCGCTCGGTGCGGATCACGTGACACGTAACGCCATGACGTAACCGCGATGTAATGACGTCACTACGAATACTCGATGTGAAATTTTAAAACTCAATAGATGTCCTAGGAATCAATGCATAGATTACTCGAGTAGTCTTTTAAAACCCTAGTATATAAATGTAGCTAGCCTTCAAAACGTGCAGTTTTTAAAATTTGCTATGAATCTAAATTTTGCCATTGTCTTTAAATAATCTTTGCATTCATTATTTTTGTTTTGTATGTTGTGTGCTCTTATTATTGTTTAATTTGTTACTATAGCCTCAGGATTTTAGTTTTGCCATATATTCAGGACAGTGGCAGCACTGGCTGCTGGCCACAATAGAATCCCATTTTGTGCAGCTCCACAAAGACAACACATTCATTTATTTTGTCTGAACAAGTAAGCTTCTGTGTTGCTGAAAGCACATAGCATGCAGTAAAAATCACAGGCTGCAGTGTGCAACATGATGACTTTAGGTGGAATAAGCTTTAAAATATGGTTGTTGTTTTTTTTGTATAATTTCAGTACAATTGTCATTTTAAACATGATTCAGGATATGTTTACTTAGTTCTCCTTTTACATTTATTTTTGTTTCAGACATTGAAGACTTGCCGCCAGCGGTTCAAGAAAAATTGTTTGATGAGGTGCTGGACCGAGACGTACAAAAAGGTGAAATATTTACTCTTTCAGTTAAATCACTTCGTTTTGCATTGTCATCTATCCTGCAGCAAGAGCCTGGTTGCTATGCAGAGAGAGAGAGAGCCCTTTCACAAATTGCTTACTACAACATGGAGGTTGTCCTATACTGGCAGTGTTGTATTACTTGTAATTTTCCTTCTTGTCAACACGGGCTTTTGCCAGGCAGTCCGACAGTCTGCCTTTATCATGTGTACCAGTTGATTTTGTGCTAATCGGCCTAACAGAGTTTCAGGGATTTCTCTGATCCTCACTGGGTGATTGTAGCTGGGTTCAATTATAAAGATGATCAAATAAAAAGACCTCAAATTTCATCTTTAGTTTTCTGCTCGTTTGCATGTTTTGCTGAATCACTTTATTGTGTCAAATAACACCTCACTGGGTGTGTTTTGTTTGAGAAGTAACAATGAACTCAAATCCTTTTCTCATTAAATGATTAATACAAACCCAGTTTACAATGCTCAAAACCTGTTTGCCTGATTATGTGAGCTTCTTTTAATGATTATATAATGGGTTTTAACCTTGCAATTTTGTTTAGAACTCGAGGAAGAGTCTCCCATAATCAACTGGTCACTAGAGCTTGGGACGAGATTCGATAGTCGGCTGTATGCACTCTGGAACCGTACAGCTGGTGACTGCCTCCTTGACTCTGTGCTTCAAGCTACATGGGGTATCTACGATAAGGACTCGGTGCTTCGCAAGACCCTCCACGACAGTTTGCACGACTGCTCTCACTGGTGAGTCCAACAGACCAAGGATGTGTATATTATGCCTTTCAAACACAGCCTTTGACCAGTGTGGCTAATTTGAATTTTGCCCTGAACGTATTCAGATTATTCAACAGGCTGAATGACACTATCAGCAATTACCAGTAAAGCTCATTTTGAGAAAGTAAAAACCACATTTTAAACGTTTGAATCTAAATACAGACTGATTTAACCATTGGTCTGATAACTTACTAAAAATTGCAACAGAAGGTTAAAAATCAAAGTGTAAATATGTATATACTGGTACTTATATGCAATATTTCATCCTTGTTTTTTTAATATATATGACACAAATTCATGCAAAGTAGGCATCTAAAGAAAGTGACCGTTAGTCCCACATACATGGACACAAACACTTTAACATGCTCAAGTTACACATAGTTTCCTTGAACACTTGAATACTAAATAACATGTGGTTGAGAGCCTAAATTACCTAACTGTGTACCTCAACTAAAGCTGTAACTAAATACAAAGCTGAATGTGTGTCTCTGGATATCAGTCCCTATTTAGAGCAATTTTGGTTTAAATAAATAAAAAGGATGACAATGTAACGAAGTGAATGTTTTTAAAACATGTAAACATGCTATACAGTAGTCCCTCGTTAATCGCGGGGGATCCGTACCCTGAAGCCCGGCGATAAGTGAAAAAACGCAAAGTAGGATTAGTAGTAGACGTATTAAGTACTAATGTAGTTTATTTGAGTGCATTTTAAACCCTTCCCACACTCTTGCAAAATTCTAAACAATGTTTCTAAACTAAAATGCTCTAAAAGAGCACATGTCATGATCTCAGCTCTCTGCCTCGCTGCACTCTCGGCCACGCCCATTTCTCTGCTCTAGATTAGCTGATCTCTGTGCAGAGCAGAGATCAGCTAATCAGCTGCAGGAGGAAGCTTCTCCCACAGTTGTGGGCTGCACACAGGTACCAAATCGTTTAAAATAATTTATTTTAAATTTTAAAAAATCCATGCCGATCATGCGGCTCTTCCATCAATCATCCATTGTGTGTCATGTCCAATCTTACTTTGAAAAACCGCGATAGAGCGAGTCCACGAAAAACAAACGGCAAAGTAGCGAGGGACTACTGTACATATGTTCAAAAGAAAAAAAGCAAAATTTGCATCATGCAAATATCAAAACCTAATCTGAAATTCTATCAAAAGTGATTAAACTATGAATAAAATAAAATCTACTTTCTTTTTTTTAAGTCTATAAAAATGTCCTAGTGAAAGTACACTTTATTTTTGCATCATGATGGTTCATACAATGTTTTCATACAGACTGTATCTCAGTCTTTATTTCTTGCTAGAAAATTGGTCTTTTATTAGGACTTTTGATGCATTTAAGGCAACCAAACATTTTATTTTATATATAGTTTTTTTGTGTAAATTAAAGCAAAACAACTAAAGTAAAGGTGGTATTTTTTACTACATTTTTCCTACAAAATATATAGGTAAAGAATGGTTATGTATGTTCTGAAAAGTCCTACAAGTTTAAAAATTTAAACTAAAAACGTAGCAAAGGCGTTAAATTTGCACAAACGTATACATGTAAGTTTAGAGCATTGAACACAGCTGGCTTTTAAACTGAGGAAATTGAATCCAGACGTTCTCTTGTCTAACACCGCACAGATTTTTCTCTTCCTGCAATGACTAGAACCCCTAAATATAATAAGGCTACACCCATGTGATCCATGTCTTTTTGTAATAAACTGAGACATTTTCCTAAATAAAAAGCCAAACCAAAAAAAGATTTATTATCCGATCAAAGCCTCAGCTAGGAAAAAGAGATGCGATCAACAACCGTCTGCACATGTATGAAGCAATGTAAGAGACTAAACGCTGCATGTATGTGTGTGCAGGTTTTACATGCGCTGGAAGGAGTGGGAGTCGTGGTATTCCCAGAGCTTTGGGTTGCACTTCTCCCTTCGAGAGGAGCAGTGGCAGGAAGACTGGGCTTTCATCCTGTCCCTCGCCAGCCAGGTGCATGTGCACAAAAGCAAACACGCACATATAATTTTGTATGGCGAACAGGAGCTTGTTGTGTTTGAAATATGGCACACTAATGATGCATAAATTATGCAAGAGCCTTTACTGCTTTTTCTCTGATTTACGTTCTTTGTATGAAATGGGGAAAGTGCATTCTGGCTGCCAATGTATCAAATACTCAGTCAGTGACTTCACTGACTGAGTATTTAGGTGGATTGTATTTATATCTGGGTGGGGAAAGCTCAGTAATTGTGGGGGTGTGTTTCTTTATGCTTTTACCAGCTCTAATCTTTTATAACCTTTTTTTTCTTAATCTTTTGTGTGTTGTGTTTTCATTTTACAGCCAGGATCAAGCTTGGAGCAGACCCACATTTTCGTTCTTGCACACATACTTCGTAGGCCCATCATAGTTTACGGAGTAAAGTATTACAAAAGTTTCCGCGGCGAAACGCTTGGGTACACTCGTTTTCAAGGTAAGCAGCAGTTTGGTCTTTTCAGCTGACGTTTGTTTTGCTCCAATATGGATCAGTTCTCAGCGCTGCGTCATTTCAGCGGGTGTGGAAATATTAGACTTCGTTTGTAAAATAGCTGCAGCCTACATGTGTCTGCATAGCTGACAGAACGCTGATCTATCAGTAATTGGTTCTTGACAGCATATGTCAGAGCTGGTGGGTTTTTTTTTTTTTAGATTCAGCAAAATGTCACTGCGTCAAAAGAGCACATTTTGTACAGGATTATGAGGCCGGATACTGTCAGATACATCTGATCACATGTGGACCATCAGAATTGTAAGATGGGGAGTACAATCTGCCTCCCTGACTCCAAGTAAAACAGTCTGGATTCAATTTCCCTGCTGAGCGAGGCTTGATGTAAGCCTCCAGTGAGAGCCAACCACTTGTGGTAAAGCCTGCCTGATGGCAGGAGGGTTGTGATTGCCAGGAGTGAGGATAAAACACAGGGGGGAGGCCATGCTTCTGAGTGCCTACAAGGAAAGGAAGCGAGGAGAGGACTAAGTATCTCTGTTAAAACTGTTGACCAAGAACCCCCCCAAAAAACTGTATAAACACTGTGTTTACTGGGAGATAAGCTGAACGATCATGTCAGTTACAGAGGAGTTCATGAAGTGCAGAAGCTGCTTTGGGTTGAGGTTTTTGTGTTCTTTTGAGTTTAGTTTTTTTTTTTAAGCTAAAACTGATGATGTGCCCAAATCTGGGATAAGTATTTCTGTTTCTGATATTCTTTTTCTGCTCTTTTGTTGTCAGAGGCCAAAATGCTGCCATGTCTTAAATTAGAAGATCTGGTTGAAAACTTAGCTTTTCCAGCAATAAACTTGGGAGGAACAAGTCCAAATTGGCAGAATGAGCCCATCAGTGCAATCAAGTGATTCAACACAGCTAGGAACCATTATGTTTATTAAATTAGTCAGTTTCACTCAAATCTAAAAGTCCATTTATATCATTACAGTAGTCCCTCGCTACTTCGCGGTTCGTTTTTCGCAGACTCGCTCTATCCCATTTTTTCAAAATAAGATTGGACATGACGCACAATTTTCTGATTGATGGATGAGCTGCACGATCGGCATGGAATTTTTATTTAAAATGAATTATTTTAAAGCCCATACTGCAGGATAAACTTCCTGCCGCAGCTGATCTGCTGCTCAACGTGCAGAGCGGAGAAGTGGGCGTGGCCAAGAACGCTTGCAGGTGGCTGAGAGCAGTAGAGGCAGGGAGCTGAAATCATGACATTCTGTGCTCTTTTAGAGCGTTTAGAGTTTAGAATCATTGTTTGGAATATTGCAAGAGCGTGGGAAGTGTTTAAACGCCTTTATTTATATATATATATATATATATATATATATAAAGTGATTTTATTTCATTAAGTACCTTTAATATATTGCTATAAAGTTGTAAAAAAAATGACAGTAATGCCATATTTCAGTTATTTTTGAACAGTCTTTATGATGATGACCACTTGAAAAAAAATCTGTCAGAGCATTCTGCTGAATTATTCCTGTTTTATTATTATTTCTGTCCCCTGTTTGTTTTTTGCAGAGTAATTTGTATTTGTATGCATGTATTAAACTTGGATTTTTGTATTATGTCATCATAAGGTTTTAATTAGTGTTTATATTGTTTTGTTTTTTCCAGTCTACGGTAGTTTATTTTTGTTCCAACTTGAATACAGAAAATATTCATATCACAGAGAAAGTTGATCAAAGATGATTGCAGGATCTTGATTCATGTGTTTACTTTAATGTGAGTAATTTGTTAGTCTCTGAAGCGAAGCGGAGTTTGTATTGCAATAAATCTGCTCAGAACAATCTAATTGTTCTGCAGCCGTAATTGAACAAGGAATCATTTTTAGACTGCAACTGCTGATCTTGAGCAGGGAGGCCCATGCATCTCTTCACAGCCACTTCTTCTAGCTTTTCTGGAAGGACTTCAAGTCATTCCCAGGCCAGCAGAGAGACATAGTCTCCTCAGTGTGTACTGGGTCTTCTCTGGGGTCTCCTCACAGTTGGATGGGTCCAGAACACCTCCCAAGGGAGGTATCCAGGGAACATCCTTACCAAATGCCCGAACCACCTCAACTGGCTCCCCTCAATCTAGAGGAGCACCTGCTGTACTTAGATTATCTCCTGGGTAACTGAACTACTCACCCTATCTCTAAGAGAGAGTCCAACTTCCCTGCAAAGAACTCATTTTAACCACCTGGATCTGAGATCTTGTTTTGGTTCACTACCCAGCATTTGTGACCTTACTAGGTGAAGGTAGAACCTACAACCGGCCTTAAAAAGAGAGCTTCACCTTGCAGCTCAGCTAACAACTTCATCACAACAGACCGGCACAGTGTACGCAATAATGCAAAAACTGCACTTGTTGATCTTACGCCCCTTTCTTCCCTCATTTGTGTTAAAAACCTGAGATGTTTAAAATCCTTCACTTTGGGCAGAACCTCACTCTTGGTTGGGAACACATTAAAAATGCAGTAGAACAGATATTGTATATAGAACTATGGACATCTTTTGCTCATCATTTGCTCTTTTAAATCATAATATGTATACATACATATATATATA